GCCAAATTTTGTACTCACAGAACACCAACTTGTGATTAATGAAACCACAAACTTCATTTCCATTCAGCACCTGGTGGCTCTTGACTTTGCACTATTAACTTGGTCTCCTTCACTTCCTACTTTGTCTTTTTGTCACACTTGGTTCTGTCTTAGTGAACAATGGGGTTGTAGCCTGTTCTGATGATCTCTATGTATATGACCTGTAGGACACCAGGGCTCTGTAACCCCAGATAATTTCCCACAGAGCAGCAAATTGGGAAAACCAGACACAAATAGTGTGAGCAATTTCCAGTTCACTGGAGTCTGTCTAGGGTCCATTTTTGTATGGTCTTTTCCAATTTGCTTTTCATCCAAGGGTTTACTATCTGTTGGTATGGAATATCCACAAGGATAAACTATCTCATCATAGACTGAGGCATTCCCACAGTGCCTGGCTAACAGAGAGGATCTGGACCCACTATGGACTTACAAGCAGACCCAGGAAAATCACTTAAAGGCCACAGGAACAGATGCTCATTGGGCTTATATTAAAATTACCGGAGGCACTTGTACAAAGGAAAACTTTAGACTCTCCAGCTCATGAGCTTATATCATGAACATTATTCTAACTAGTCCCAATTCAGTGATTGAAGATTGACATCAGACCTCTCCCTACATCAGAAATACCCCACACTGAAATATATTTTGTTTTGTTTATAACAGTATACTTTATAGTTTTAAGTAAAAATGGTTTAAGTGATTAAACTTGATTAAATAAAAAAAATGGTTTATTGTTGGAGGGTTGTCCTAGTACTGGTGCTTGAACTTAGGGTCTCGCATTTTCCCTTAGCTATTTTGCTTAAGGATGGCTGGTACTCTACCACTTGAGCCATACCTCTATTTCTGGCTTTTTGCTGGTTAATTAGAGATGAGTCTCACATACTTTTCTGCCTGTGCTGGCTTTGAACTGTAATCTTCAGATCTCAGCCCCCTGAGTAGGATTACAGGTATGAGCCACAGGCATTTGGCAGAAAATGTTTAATTTTAAATGACTAAAATTCTGTTCTAAGACTGTTATTTTGAAAATCATAACAATTTACTAAAATTCAAATATAGCAACAACTATACTTTAATAAAGGGCTGTATATGTCATACTAAACTGTCCCCATTATTTTGTATTGTTCTTTCAATGACAGAGTTGACTTGTAGCTCTTCTGATCCTTATCACCAGAGTCAAATCAAATGTGTTTCTGTAGATTTTCCTGTGGACACTGTAAGTGTACATCATTTTGACTTTCTTCTCTGATATATTGCCTTAAGATTGATTTGGACTTTGTTCTCCTTTGTTTCCTGACTTCATTGGATTTTTGCTTATTTTTTACCCTCACTCTTTCTGTTTTTGCCATCAGATCCTCATTCCATGACTTCTATTCGGTCCCGTCCATTTCTTCTCCTCCCTTGGGTCATCTAGTACTATATCTTAACATGTACGGTTCTAAGTATTAATATTCTAAGTAGAAAAAAATTACATTACTAGGGGTTGTTTTTGAAAAAGGTGGAGTTCTGTGAAAGTATCAAGTTGGTTCAAAGGAATGCCCCCTCCATACTTCCAAAGTCCATGTTAACAACCAGGAGGTGCTGTTAGGGTTGCTCTTCAAGTGCTGCCTATCTGAGTCTTCGTCCTTCCTGCCTCTCCCAGTACTGCTCCTCAGTCCTCTGCTTGAGGCGATCTAACATACTTGTAGTATGATTTAAGAACATAAACAGTTACACCTTGTTTACTTGTGGAGTTGTATTGTCTGCCACCTTCCTAAAGGTATAATTCCAAGAAAAGTGGCTCTCTACTCTTCCTCAAAACTCTTTTATCACATCATTGATATTTCTGTTATTCAACTCATCACATTCTTCCTTGTGTCTCTCCCCCACTCCCCCACTTGATGCTGTTCCTAGGGCTTGAATTCATGCCCTGAGGCACTGTCCTAGAGCTTTGGTGCTCAAGGCTAGCACTCTACCACTTGAGCCACAGCTCCACTTCTGGCTTTTTGTTGATTAATTGGATATAAGGTACTCAGGACTTTCCTGCCAAGGTTGGCTGTAAACTGATCCTCAGATCTCAGCCTCCTGAATATCTAATATTACAGACCTGAGCCACTGATGCTAGACATGCTTTGTTTTGGTGTTTTTGTTTTGAATGACTTTCTCCTTTACTAAATTGTATCCCTGATGAGTGCCTGGAGCAATTTGTCTTCTTTTGGTCCTCTCAGGATTTTGTTAGATGTGATCATTTAGTAAGTGTTTTCACTCCATGTATTCTGCCCTCACGGCTGGAATTCCTTAGAATACATTAATGGAGGTAGCTACAACAGAAATTTCCTATCAGGAGAGAGAGAGGCAGGAGTACAGAGAAGTAACAGCTGAGCTTGTTCCCAGGACTGGTAGCAGACTTTTGCTCTTGGGCACAAGGTGGCAGACTGCCTCCACTCCAGTCTCCTTTTGTGGCAACTGCCGGGAGCTGACATTTTCTGCCCTATTTTAGATACCTGTGTTCATTAAAAAAACAAGAAAGGGAAGATAGTATAATTTAGCAAGAGATGCATGCTGTGACTGCCAGAGCATCCTGTGTGGTCTTGCTCTCTGTGTTTGGCCTGACTCCATGTCTGCATCCAAAAGCAATGCCTTGTCATGGTGAATTCCTTCTGGCAAATTCATTCTGACTTCTCTTAAATGGGTGAAGAAAATGTGAACCTTGCCAATGTTTGGAAGAAATATCCATGAACACTCCAGTGTGGAGACAGGAAACAAAGTCTGACCTGGGAGCTGACATGTGCAGTTTCCCTATAGGACACAGACAAGGACTCTTGGCCTTGGCAGGCTCTATCTGAAATCAACACAATTGAATGAACAATTTTTCCATTCATGTTTTTCTTTTACAACCCCAGGTATTTTCGTGTTATGAGACCACCCACATATAAAGTTTACCATAAGTTGTAATAGGAATATTTGTAAATTAGATTCTAGTTTTCTTTATTTCATTGATTAAACCAAGGATTTTTTTAAAGTTCCAAAAATCTATATTTTATTTGAAAGCAAAGTTCTAGGAATCGCTTATTTGGGCATCCTTATGGTGAATTAGGGGAATTGGAAGACTTTCTCTTGATACTCCCTTGCTATTCCAGAAGATGGAGAACAAATGAAAGATACTTGTACATTTCCAAGTTTTATTTAATCTTTCTTCTTTTCTTTCTTTCCTTCCTTCCTTTTTTCTTTTCAAGTCTTTTAATTAGATAAGATTAGGATTAGGTAGGAGCCACTGGTGCCTAGATAGCATTTCTTTTAAAGGTGTCTCTATGTCTCTGTCTCTGTCTCCTTTCTCTTTCTGTTCATGCACACGATCTATGATGTTAATTGTCTCTATATATTGACATATAATTCTACTACATATACATATATATATACAATATATGACATCATACTTACAACAATAACAAAAACTAAGATCATGCTAGGAACAATTTCTAGTGTAGTGTGTACTGAAGGATTTCTGCCTGGTGCACATGGTGAGCTTCACATGTGTGTCATTACTACTACCTGTTTGGATGAGGAGTTCCAGGTTGGTTCCATAGATTAACTTACCACTTGCATTTTATAAGTAATAATCTGCTGTCTACTCAAGTAATTCAGACTCTTTTTTAAGATACTGTAGTTTTGATTTGTATTCATTTGTGTTATATACCTTTACTATTATTACTAGCAGTATGCTTGTAATCTAATGTGTCAGTCATGACTTCTGTTGTTGGGAGTTTATGCTTGATGAGACAGCCTTTTTCTTGCCTTTTCTCCTCCTTTCAACCCTTGTCATTTAGAAGAATGTTATGGAGGGAGAGGAGACCCATTAACAATGTGGTTCCGATATAAGCAACGAGCACAACCAGTCCAGAATTATTTTTGTCACAAAGCAAAGACACTGGAAACAAGCAGTGCCTGATAGGACTGGTTCTGTAGCCTTCCTAGCTTTGTTTTATCCTTTCCCTCATGGCTACAAAATAACTGCTGCATCTCAGAGGTCATTTTCATTTTAAGCCAAGAAAAGCCTCAGAAAGGAGGAAGGGTAGTGCTAGATGTAGAATGTTCCTTTTCTTAGAGAGATGGAAGCCTTCCAGAGTTCCTCCTCCTTTCTTATTAGGATTCTAGCTGTGATTTCCAGGTCTGTGTCAAAAGCTCGTCATTATTGGAAAAGCATCTGTCCTCAAGGAAGGGAGCTAGAAATCCTTTGGGATAAGCAAATGAACAGTATCCAAGGAAGTAGTTTTTTACCTTGCCTTTTCCTTTGTGTTTCTCTTTGAATTTGTGGCCCTTCTTCCCTTTTTCCACCTGGGTCTTGGCTTATGGAGGAGGCAGAATCATTCCAAGTGATAAACTGAGATTTCTTTTGGGAAATAAAACTTGCTTCATTTCAAAGTGACGAATATACAACAGAGGAAAGAGCACAAGTGGCTATGAAACAGGAAATCTTTATTAGAGCAGAGGAAGGTGAGCAAATGCTGGAGTCAGCAGGAAGAAGGGGTACATTCAGACTGCACTCAGTGGATTCATCGAATAAGCACACACTACCTTTGCCAGAGGCAGAACTAATCTTGTTGCTTGTGAAATGTGACACAGACAACAGTTCCTATAGATCATTTAATTATACATTGTTACAGAGAAATGTTGCATATTTTCATGTCTTCATAGCAAATAACGTAGCAAGGTATGTGTGACATGAAGAACATACTTCTTCATGCTACCTAGTAGCATAGATCCTTAGTGGGTCTTGTTTCTTTTTTTTTTTAAAGGCACTATCATATAGAAAAGAATATTACATTATGGCCATGAAAACAGCTAAACCTCCCCCACCAAAGCCAGACTTGCTGGTTTTGTCAGTTTTGGGGCCCTGTCCTCTCTCCTATGCCTGAGCTGTCCTTCAAGGCCACCTTGCAGATGAGTGCTGTTTAAAATACACCCAACAAGGAGCTCCCAGGGGACTAGTCACCCTCACTCTCGCCTGAACTATCACTGTCAGATGATTCACTGCTATGGTCCCTTTTAGAAGGGCTAAAGCTCCTGTGAGAATGGGGTCTTCTGTAACTCCAGGGGCCTCTCCTTTGATACCTCCCTTTATTCCATAAAGAATTATGTTGTCCATCCTGGCTTTGTCTGCCATGTTTTAAAATATTACCGGGGTCATTGTGGGAGCCTATTTCATTTCTAATTTCATTATCAAGGCCATGAGAAGGTGTTCGCAATCCTTGACTTTTGCCCTGACTGCTAAGTCGTGGTTTCTCACTTAAGATTACTTCATTTCTATTAGACTGCTCTGGTCCTTTATTGGAGCTACCCTTGCCATGTTTAGGGATTTCATTGTAATGAGCACTTTCGTTTGCATCTCTATCACCGTCTTTTCCTTTCTCTCTGGAGGGTGCATTTGGATAATGGCGCTCCACTTTTCCTTGAGCATTTTGGCTGTCAGTATTCACTCTGTTTCCTTCTTTTCCAGGGAGCTCCCTAAAATTGGTATTCCCTATGATGTCATTGTTGCACTCCACCAGGCTCACACCAATACCCGTCTCTTTCACTCTGTCACTACTGGCTCCAATGACACTGCCACCATGTCCTTCTGTCTCTGGAAGCTCGTTGTAACCTGGCAGTCTTGGGTCAAGATTAATAGTCTCCGACCCACTTTGGTCTGGGAGCTCTGTTTGAATATCTGGACCAATACCTTCTCCTTCACCACAAACATCCTTAAAAAGCTGGCCATCCCCACTGAAAGGAGACAGGTCATTATCCCCTGTTTCCTGAGGATCTATGTCACCACTGCCTTCAAAGTCACTGGGGACTTTTTGGCCTTTGGGGACCCGTGTTAGGTAGTGAGTGTCACGCCTGATGTGGTGGTTGCTCTTGCTTAGTAATGAGCTCTTGTGGTCTTGGGAATCTCTTTGATCGTTCTTTTTCCCTTCTGAATGGGCTTTAACATAGTTGACACCTGCTAGAATTTTGCTTAGTACATTGCTATGTGTCTTCTCTTTGCTTCCCTCCCCCCACAGTTCCATTACATTCACTGGCCTCATGCTATTTGTCTTGAGAGTTGTTCCGTATTCTTCCTGGACAGGTAGGTGGCTTATGGCATCATCTCCATCATCAGTTCTTTTATCCACAGTGGATTCTGGAACCCAGGTCATCATTAGGTCATCATGGGCTTTTCCTTTGTGACTGATACCAGTGTTATCAATGATTGTCTGTGTCTTTACCAAAAGATTTGAGTATTTACTGCTTTTATTATTTTCATTGACAGCAAAAAAGGGTAAGTCACTCCTTTTCTTCTGAGTAATGTTTTCTTTAGGTGTGACCTCTTGATTTCTTCTCTCCTCCAAAAGATCAAAAGCAATATTGTTGTTATTTTTTTCTTCCTGCTAAAGTATAATTTTCAACACAGTGATTATGCAAAAAATCAAAACAGGATAATAATTAGGAAATATCTAAAAACTGAGTTGTCATATAATTAACAAAATGAATAGAAGTTCATTGGCAGAGATCATTCTGGAATGGACAAGATAGGTTTCATGGAGAAAGAAGAATGATATGGGCTTGATGGTGGTGACGTTGCACATCTGCAGATGGGGGATAGAAGGAGATTTTTGGAAACACAATTGAAAGACAATATTGATAACTGTCTGTGTCTGGAGCAGAGAGATCCTAAATTAGAGGCTTAGAAATATTAGGGAAGTTGAGAGTAAATGAGTAGTTACTCAATGCTGGGAAGAGTGCAGTGGGAGGAAAAGATGGAGAAATGTTTAGCTATCTATTATAGTATCAAGTTATGTGAACAAGAGTTTCTGGCATAATATTGCATCTTAGAGGGCTATATAGATAACAATTATAATAATGTGTTGTACTTTTCAGAATGCTAAAAGATAGGTTTTTGAAAGTTTTTACAAAAAAGACATGATAAATAACTTGAAGCTATAGATATATTTCACTTCACTTAAATATTGCATAACATAGACATATAGCAAAACATTTCATAGTGCTCTTTAATATGAACCCAGTATTTTATGCTTCAATGTATCTGTGAAAGGTAAACAAAAAGAGTATAAGAAATAAATTTGGGAATGTAGGTTTGTGGTGGCTTTTGAAGTAAGATCAATTTTAGAAGATGGTTAATTCAAGAGTAGTGCTTGCTTGGCACTGGAGGTTTACACCTGTAATCCTAGTTAGGAAGCTGACATCTGGAGGATCACTGATGAAGGCCAGTCTGGGCAGGAATAGTCTGTGAAAATAACTGCTTCCAAAATAACCAGCAAAAAGCAGGGCTAGAGGTGTGGCTCAAGCAGTAGAATACCAGCCAAGCAAGTATGAAATCCTAAGTTCAAGCCTGGTACAAGGAGGAGGAGAAGGGAAAGGGGGAAAGGGAAAGGAGGGTAGGGAGAGGCATACATTGTTAAATGTCATTTAGTGAATAGTGAGTCCTTAGAAGTGAAACGCATTTTATATTTTACATTCCTTCCTCCCCCCACCACATAAGAATACTGTTTTCCTCAGAGGATTGTATGCTTGTAAATGTGTCATGCTAACTATTGGGAGCAATCGAGAAATTGATGAAGCAGCTCACGGTTGAACCAAGGTAGCAGTGGCATATGGAAGTACTCACTGCTTTTCCAAAGCTTGTTAGTATGCAGTGTGCAGAAATGAGTGAGAGGCATTCATGTTTACTAATGGATTGTGTATATTTCACTAAAAGAATGACTAGAATTCTTCTATAAAGGAAAACATAATTTTTTAAAAAACTGAGACTTGAACCGAGGGCTTCCTGCTTATGAGACAATAGCTCTACCACTTGAATTAGCCCTAAGTGTTTTTAACTAAAAAAAAAGATTGTGAGATAGGTTCTTATGAAGCATTCCTTTTGCATCACCTCCCTCAGAGTGGCTGGAACGTATGCTACCTATAATAATACAAGCATATACTACCATACGCAGCTGATACTACTTTAAACTGGTATGTGACAGTTAACAATATGTTGGAAGACACAATCAAAAAATAGAAACCTCTTTTGCTTTTGCCTTTGCTTGTGTAAAGTGATTTCTAATCAAGTCATTAACTGTATATGTTCTGTGAATCTGTTGGCTAATAACAGTTGTTCTTGCTCTGCTTTCCCATTCTGTGCCTTGGCTTGTGTTACTGTCTTCAGGGAGAACATCCCCTCATATACACTTGTATTTTCTTCAAATCTTGCTCATCCTCCAAGGCTTAGCTCATTATTTCCATCATGTAGTCTTCTCTGAATACCAGGCAGGAATTAGGTTTTCTCTATTCCAAACCATGATTATTGTTTGTTTTTTTTTAAAAATGTTCTTTACCTTCATACATATGACCCTTTGTACAATTCTATCTTGGATTCTGATGATATACACAAGTGCCTTTTTAAACATTTCTTTTTAACTCTAACATCCCGGAGAAACAAAATTAACTTTCTCACTTGACAAACATTTTGTCTTAAGCAACTGAAAGAGTATACCAGATACAAATCACAGTAAGCAAGTTGTGATCAATTTTATCAGGCAGTTAGATTCGGTCTTTAGAGATGCCACGTAAAGGCTACTGAGCAGTAAAAAAAAGAAAAAATAGTATTCCAAAGGGAAGTCCCTCTTGTACAGGAAATGGAACCCATTGGGAAAAGCAAATAATTCAACGGCTGGTGGCATTTTAGGTTGTTTCCAGCGATCTGGGCAGTGACTCAGCCAAAGGGAATGGAGTAAAAAATATATTTTTTTGTCATCTCCATGACAAGGGCCTCATTCTTCTCCTTATGAGCATCCCACAGATAAAGGCACCCATGGAATAAATTGAAGATATACTAAAGTGAGTCTCTCTTAGACCGCTTTTCCAGCTGAAACTCCCACCATTAGATCAAATGTAAGTTTACCTGGAAAATCTCAATGAAATGAGACAATGAAAGATCACAACGAACCAAGGGCATCTAGGGTCCACCAAACCATAGCTACCTCAGCAGAACAGATGTTGAAGCAGAGAATGGATGATTCTAGAACAGAGCTGCATTGTAGAGAGGTTTGAGGAATTCAGGACAGTGAGCAAAAGAAGTCATCATCCATAGATAGAAATTCTAGAACAAGTAATTTCTCATAGAGCAGAGTTTGGCTTGTAAAAAGGTCTTTCATTCAAAGACTCAGTTTACCTTTATGCTAGTTTGATTTTTCTTTCCAGGTGAGGTGTAAACATAGTTAGGGAAATAATCCGATGCTTTTCATGATGGTCCTTGTATGTTACTTATAAAATAAAATTATATTAAAGTGGGTTTCTCTTTTTCTTTAAAACATTTTTAAAATGGAAAGAGTTGTCATTTGACAAAGTAGTTTATGAAAGCAATGCACTTTAATCTATGTCACTCCAGGTTTGTCTCTAAGAATCTTTCTTTATTTCTTTCTAATAATAGAAAATATTTCTCCCTCTCATCCCCCCTTTGGGAGAAGTGGTATTCTGCCCCTGACAAGTACTTCTGTGTTACCACTGGAGGGCAGAGTCTGTCAGCCAGTTCCTGAAGACAACAACTACGCCTTTCTAGAAATCTCTAAATGGGTCTTCCCTAAGTTTGACTGACTAGGTTCTGTTAATTTTACTATCAAATTTTAATGCAAATACTTTCCAGTAAGGGGTGAGGGGATTAGGAGAAAGGTGAGTTTTGACAAAGTTTACATCTGACATTCAAGTTGGCAAAACATGCAGCTTGAACATTCAGGCTTTCTAAAAGCTCATAGATTGGGCCTTTGTAAATGTCAGCTGAGTTGAAGGGAAGAAGATGGTCAGTTCTGAGAAAAGCATTCTTTGATATAGTCAGGGGAAACTGTGGACGACAGAGGAAATTGCAATTTGGTTATACCAAAGCTGAGCTCATTTGCTTAATTTTTCTGGTGAAGTAAGGAAAATGAGTTCCCCAGAAACAAAATTCCTCATTAAGACCTGCTAACCACCTTCCTACCTTTCTCATGTGCACATGTGAAGAGCACTGGCTGCTAATAACAGTATTGCTAATAACATGTATTCCACAAGTATCCCTTGGAAAGCTGCCCAGCAAAGCACTGTTTCATTTGAAGTAAGAAATCACATTGAAATAGTCTCCATTCATAATGTTTCCGTAAACTGAGTACAGGTGGCTCAAACTATAATTCTAACTATTCAGAAGGCTGAGATCTGAGAATCATGGCCAAGCCATTGGAGAGACTCTTAACTCCAATTAGCAAGCAAAAAGCTGGAAGTAGAGCTGTGTCTTCCAGTGGTAGAGTGCCAGCCTTAAGCAAAAAAGCTAAGCGATAGCACCCAAGATCCAAGTTCAAGACCCATTATCAACACACACACACACACACACACACACACACACACACACACACACACACACTACTCCCTTCTTGTCTGTCACTGTGAATTATAATGCTTGCTTCACTAGAACATGCCAACAGTCTGTTGAATAATGTTGTTTTTCCACTCTGCTCAAGAATATTTTGGCTGTAAAGTTTTTCTCTTATTGACTTTCTTTCTTTACAGAGCCAAATAGAGTTGTTTGAGAAGAATAATTTTATTTACCTTCGGTTCTTCCACACTGCCTTGACTGGCTTTCACAGTCTGTGGTTGAAAAGTCTGCAAGGAAATAACAAATACAACTTCACCAAATAGGCCCTCTTACGTTCACTTCTTCAAACAGCAGTCATTTATTTTCCTCTTTGGGTTCTGGAAAACCATTCTGATGAAAGGACTATGGATCCTCTCATTCTCTCATGTTTATTTTTATTATGAAAGAGGGTTCCATCTTCCACCTTTGCTTCCCTTCCCTCATCCCAAGGAAGACAATGCCATCCCTGCTTTCAGAACCACCACAGGGCATGGTGGAGAGAAGCAAGCAGGACATTCTAGATGAAGTAGATTTGGGAGCCATTGATGTCCACATGAGAAGAAACTTTCCCTGTATTGTATTGTGTACAGTGATACAATGAGTTCAGAATATGTTTATTTTGAATTGTTTTGATGGTGTTGATCCAGCAGCAGTCAAACTATACTCCTGAATGTTTATAAAAAATTTTACTGTCAAGGTTATGTACAGAGGGGTTACAGTTACATAAGTAAGGTGGTGATTACATTTCTTCTCTAACTTGTTACTCCCTACCTCATTTTTCTCCCTCTTTACCCTTCCAATTGTGTCCTCCTCCCAAGTTGTACAAATCATTTCCAACGTATTGTCTTGTGATGATCTCTGTTGCATTCATTTCCCCTTTGTCCTTTGTCTCACCATTTTGTTGTTCTCTTTCCCTTCCCTAGTTCAGCTAAATGTATATACAATACCCAGGGTACCAAAATTGGATATGTGACAACAAGGGATACATCATAGGGGGAAAGAAACAGAAGAAAAAGGAAATCACTTAGTACATTGAGAATAACAACAACAAAGGAAAACCTCTTGTGTGTAGCCAGACATGGACCCTTCTCTTGCCAGTCACCTGACTAGAATATTTTGCTCAGAGAAGAGAGAATGGAGGTGGCTAGGACATTGTGACAAATTCTTCTCTTGGATTGATATGGACATTTCAAAATTTCTCAAGGGGAGCCAGGTGCTGATGGTTTATACCTGTAAACTCAGCTATTTGGGAGGTGGAGATTGGGAAGGTTGTGGTTTGAGGCTGTGGTTTTGTTCCCAGTTGGGGCAAAAAAAAATCCTGAGATTTCCCATCTCAACCAGTAACTGGTCATGATGCTATACACCAGTCAACTCAGCTCCCTCAGGAAGGTTCGTAATCTAAGCTGACCTGTGCAAGGAGCAAGATCTCCATCTGACAAATAGTCAGAACAAAAACATCTAGACATGTGGTCCTAAGGTCAGACTCTAGTACTACCAAGAAAGAAGGAAGGAAGGAAGGAAACAAGAAAGGAAGGAAGGAAAGAAGGAAGGAAGGAAGGAAGGAAGGAAGGAAGGAAGGAAGGAAGAAGGAAGGAAGGAAGGAAGGAAGGAAGGAAGGAAGGAAGGAAGGAAGGAAGGAAAGAGAGGAAGTTAGTTGTTGATGGTTCCTGGGGGTAAAGAATCACTGCTGAAGTTGACAAAGACTAGAAACTAAGAAGAAATAGAATCTGGTAGCTATTTTTGGCCTTTGCACTGAATGTATCACAGGAAGGCACACAGAATAGAATCGCAGACAAGATTTCTGTAAAAGAAATAAGGTCAATGATTCTAGAACTACTTGTATTTTTGTTTATTTTTAACTCCTAGCTTTTCTCTTATGTGCAAGAGAAACCAATGAATGGAGTGCATTTGTTTTTTCATTTGTATATGTGAGACCAGAAGCAGCCACTGTGGTGAATCAGTCATAGAGGAGAGAAAAGTCTTCCATGGGAAGATTTCAAAAGAAGGATTATATAGTCTAGCTGGCCTACTCACCTTCAGAGCATTCTTCCTAAATAAATCGACAGTCATTGGTTTTTGTTTTCCGGATTAGACTCTGATTGATAAAATTGTTTTAGGAATATAAATTGAAAAGCTGAGCACTGATGGCTGAAGCCTGCAATCCTAATGACTCAGGGAGTGGAGATCCTGAGGATCAAAGTTTGAAATCAGCCTAAGCAGAAAAATCTTGGAGAGTCCATCTCCAAAATAAACAACAACCACCTGGGCTGGAGGAATGGCTCAAGTCAGCTAAGCAAACTGAGCAAGTGAGAGGCCCTGGGAATCAGGGTTTCTCAGAGAGGGAGCGGGGGGGGGGGGGGGGGGGGCCCGGAAAGAGGAAGAAAGAAAGGAAAGAAGGAAGGAAGAAACCTTAACCGAAAGTTTGGCTGGTACTATCTACCTAATATTCCATTTCTTCTAGAGACAAGCAATAATTGGGTCAATCAATTTACAGATCATGCTTTGTTTATATAATACTTCACAGCACAGTATGTAAACTAATTTTGCATAGAAATATCACTTAAGTCTTATCACCTGTGAGATCGACAGTAGATGAGACAAAGCTGCCTATACACACAGCTGGTGGTGGTTGAAGTAGAGGAGATATTTTGACCAGAACTCACTATCTTAAAGCCTAAGGACCAAATTAATAACAATCGAAGTAGTTGCTTACAAGGAAACATTGACCAATAAAAGGAAATGATCCTGAAGTTTATGTTGTGTCTTCAAGATCTGTTTTATAATTTTATTCTCTATTGCATTTCTAATTTTGGTTCTCATCATGATCTTGTGAATATAAATTGAAACAATTACATCATTCTTCACAAATATCAAATGTTCTGTGAATGGGACCATAGGAAGAATAAGATACAAAAGTGAGATAATAGATACTGAGCTCAGTGCCTGTGACTCACCCATGTAATACTAGCTACTCAGAAAGGTGAGCTCTGGAGAACTGAAGTTTGAAGCCAATCTTGGAAGAAAAGTATGAGAGACTCAAGAGACTCCACTTTCATGTATCCAGCAAAAATAGAGTAGGAGGTTTGGCTCAGGTAGTAGAGCATCAGCATCAAAGATGAAGAAATGAAAATGTGGGTATCTATTCACAGAACACACAGGTGCACAGTCACACACTTTTATGTATTAACAATATATTTTTGACTATTAGAGTACCCTAGTATGGTACATGACTTATTGTGACTTAGAACAAAGTCCTTATAGTCTAAGTGAATATTGATGTTAATTTAACTGCATGTTTCAATAATCTTTTATTTATTTTCTTATATCTTAAGATTATTTCATATTTGGCTTATAATTTTAAAGCAAAGGTAAGTGATTCAGTACATACTTTCTATCCCCCTGTTTATTGTCCATAATTTATGTGGGAGTAAACATCCCATCCATTTACAATGCCAAATTTTATCTACATGCCATAACTGAGGCTTTCAATGAAATCTACACCCTTCCTTTCTTCCCTAACACCCACTTGTTGGTTGTCATGGGCTTGAACATGACCCCATAATGGAGATGACATCACCTATCTCTGGCAGAGAAGCTGTCAGCCACTTCTTACTGCTGGTCACTTGGTATATGTTGACATAGCACTTTACTGGAAATTGTCAGAAAGGCCTCTATCTGTTCCAGTTGGCTGGATTAAACTGAGTCAGCAAGGCCCACACTCCCACCATCCTGCCTTAGTGCACAGCTGCATAGCTCTGATGGAGTGTGGTCTGGTGAGTTGGCCCTGAGACATTTCTGTTTCCAGAAATGTGGTCCATGGGAATGTGTGAGAATCTGTGCTGAGGGAGGAAAGCTTGCCCAAACTGTGCATCCTCACCAGATGGTGTGGTTAATCCTTGTTGGTCTGGTTATCCAACTGGTCACTGACTTGTTCAGACCTATATTTAAGCAAAGCTAGCAATAGTTGTTTCCATGGTTGTTCAACCAAAAAGGTTACTCTGAAAAGCTGAGGTGCTGTGAGACATTATTGAGCACATTGTCTACCCTGCAGAATATGCCTGTAATGCTCAGTATTGTCACAGGATGACTTGGTCACATCCTGGACACTCATCCATGTGAATCAGAAACAATAGCAATAGGAGCTTGGATCGTTGAAGTGCATGAATTCTCTGTCCACCTTTGACCTTACTAGTGAATGAAACAGCATTAGTAAGATGCCAGAGTGATGAAGTCTTGCAAAAAATTCAGAAATATTTCTTCGTTCTTCACGGTGCCATCTATTTACAAAACTGGTTAATAAAAAATACTTTGTGACAAATTCTTCATATTTTTAGTAGAATATTGAAAGATTCTTTTGATATGATTTAATTTTACTCAAGCCACATTTGACATGCAATGTTGTGACTAGCCACTGGTTTTCTCAAATAATGTTGTTGCTGTTCCTTTTAAAACAACACGGTGACACCTTGTAATTCAGCACATATTTTTGAGGGCCTCTTTTGTGACAGGCCCTCTATGCCAAGTGCTAGATGATTTTATTTGTTTGAATTAAGTGAATACTAGAAATTTAAATAAACATTGCTATATAAAAAGTGCAAGAAATGTTACAAAACAGAAATGAATTTATAAATGCTTACTGGTGCTGCCCAAGTTACACTGTAAAGGAGCAGTCCTATGCACACAAGTCGCATCTTTGAGAATCTCTGTGGAAAGACAATGAGAGCTTAACCTTAAGCACTGGTCACTGTGTACTACAACCATAAATAGAAGTACACACAAGCATCCTTCCTCCCTGAGCTGCATTTTGTTTTTTAATCTACAAAGTTACTTTCTATAGTTACCTCTACAAAATTAGTATGTATATGTAAGTAATTTGCATAGTGTATAGCCAAGTGTGGATATTACTAATGTGAAGCCAAAATTATTGAATATAATTTGAATGATAGTCAGTAGATAGAAATGAATTTTATAAACATAATTTGTTTGCTTCTTTGTCAGTCCTTCATTTTCCCTCTTTTTCTTAGAGGGACATTATCAAGTATTTGTATAATGCTAAGGGACAGCAAACTAACAGTTAAAGTATAGATCATACCCATGTAATTGTAACTCCTCTGTACGGTATTCTCACAATTAAAAAAAAAGTATAGCAGATATCACTAGAGGAGTGGGATCTTCGCTGATTCCAGCCTAGTAGTCCAATCTACACCCTCATATCAATTAGCCATATATTTGAATTAGCATCATCAGGGTCTAGAGACTTAGACTGAAGCAATTACTTACTTCAACAGCTGGTATTTATTAAATATTAAAATGTGACAAACATTGCTCTAGAAATTTTACATATGTTTATTTATTTGAGCCTCACTACAACCATATGAGCTAGTTAACATCACTTTATCTGTATAAGCCTCAGAGCTCACAGATATTAGAAGGCAGATTAAATTTGGAATCTAGGAAATGTAGCTATAGAGTCCTTCTCCTCCATTTTCTTCTTCTTCCTCCTCCTCTTTCTCCTTCTCCTCCTCTTCCTCTTTCTCCTCCTTCTTCCTTCCATCTCCCTTCTCCCTTCTTCTGTCAGCTTTTTTTTTGCTCAAGGCTAGCACTTGACCCACAAATGCATTTCTGGCTTTTTAGGTGGTTAATTTGAGATAAGAGTCTTACGTACTTTCCTTCCTGGGCTGGCTTCTAACCATGATCATCAGATCTCAGTCTTTTGAGTAGCTAAGATTACAGGCATGAACCATAAGCAACTGCCTCAAGAGTCTGTATTCTTAATACAGTCTAGGCCATCTCAAGTTTCTGTTTCTTTATCTTATTTATTTTGTTAGAGAAAAATCTACATGTTGACAAAGGAAAACTATATCTTGCATTTAGCTAAAAAATAATTGCTTAAAATACTATCATTCAGTTACAGATCAAAATACCTGTTTATAGTTTGATAAATACATTAAAAGGCTCTAATGAACTTACTTAAGCAGTTATCAGATTGGAAAACAGAATAGCTTTGGATAATCTGTTGGTTTGGGTGAACATTAATATTTTACTACTTCGACATAAATGCATAGCAACTAATATGAAGATAATAAATTTATATTGTTCTTTGTTGGAACCATTTTGTTCTTTTAATGGGAAAAGTCATTTAAAAAGTATCTTACAATCTTTAAACATGTAAAAATAAAAAAATTCTGTTTGAAGAAATAAACCAAATTATTAGATATATTCTGAAATCCTAGGTTATTGTTTTCTAAATTAATACAATTTTAAGAATCTTAATTCAAACTCTAATTTAGCTTTCCAGGTATTTTACAGATAAGGGCAGTATATAGAAGCCACTTATCAAATAACTTAGTGCTGGTCAGTAGAAATATCACCACAGACAAGTTTTGAAAATATGAATCTGATCAGATTCTCTTATTTCTGGTTTGTGGAGGGAGACAACCTGGTTTATGAAAGTATGGATGAAAATTAGTCATTGAGTTTCTGTGTCTCCTGATACTCCTAGTAGCCAAATCAAAAGAAAAGAGGCTGCCAAGTCATCAATTTTAATAGCACACACCCTAGTTTATAAAACAAAATACTGAATACCACCTACTTGATTTAGTTCACAAAACAATGACATATCTGGAGTGATAAACATCTTGAAAATATAAACAATTATCACATAAAGCCATTTCCTATGAAGAACATTAAAAGTGCCAAATTACCTGGTATTTGACCTTCAGGAACCTGGCTGCTTTGCTTGATTAGCAGGCTCTGAGCATTTTGCTGAAATTTAAAGTTTGCTAGTATTTCCAGTGTCCAATCAGCACTGTTCCACTTTGCACCAGCAAACAAATTGTCCTGAGTGCCCACAGATAACCACAGGGGGTAAAGTAATTTTAATCTAAAAATGTTCCTGTGGTAGAAAGCGGCTATCAAATGTTCCAGAAGGTGGAATAAACAGAAGCATATAAATACCCCAGATTGGATATCATATTGTCAGATAATTAGAACTGATTTCAGAACTATCCATTAAGACTGAGTGGTTGTCTAACAAGCTTAAAAACAGAAAAATATTTGCAAACTAACAAGATGAATAGTGGAAATTATTCTTGGGATTCTGTAGTAAGTGTATAATCTCAATTTGTCTCAAAAACTTCAGAAATATAACAAAAATGTTACTAGTACCCACATAGTGACAGGCCGGGAATAAACTGGGTAGTGAACCAGCCAGGAATAAACTGGGCAGAAGATAATCCCTGTCTTCATGGAGCTCATCATCCAGTAGAGATGACAATAAATAAGATAAACAAGTGGGGGTATATTATACTAGATAGTGATGTACATGAAGTTAGGGGAAAAAAAGTTGCAGGACAGGAAGAGTAAGCACTGGATGTGTCTTGGGAAGCCACTATTGAGAAGATGACTTAAAAATGTTACTACAAAGGTTATGTACAAAGGGGTTACAGTTATATGTCAGATACAGAATACATTTCTTTTTAAAAAGTTACCCCTTCTCTTGCTCACTCCCAGTTTTTACCTCCCATCCCTATCCACAAGTTGTGTAGTTCATTTTCAATATAGAGATGAGTACTATTACTGTATTTGTTTACCCTTTGTCCCCCTTTTTCTTCCCCCCTAACTCTCCCAAAGACAGATAAATGAACAAACAAGACAAAAAGGAAGGTAAACAAAAACAACAACAAATAAAACCCCTCAGCTCCATTTCCTGGAGTTCATTTAGATAAGTATTATTTTATATGATGAGATGCACAGAGGCTTTATGCCTTTGTGTTCCTCCCCTAACAGTATCCTCTGCTCTCACTTTGTTTACATGCCTAGAGAAGGTGACTTTTGATTACGGACTTAGCTACCCTTTGAATAGGTGAGCCTTTCCAAATCCATATATTGGAACGTACACTCCAATGTGATATTATTAAGAGGTAGGACCTGGATTTGATGATTAAGTCATGAGGACAGAACTTTCATGAAAGAACTGGAGGGAACTACCCCAGACCTTTCTGTCTTTCAACTTTTCTACCATGTGAAGACATGGCCTTCCTTTCCTCTGAAGGATGAAGTAATAAGCCTCCATCTTGGAATCAGATAACCAACCCCTACCAAGACACTTGCCAAAATCTTTCTCCTTAGACTTTCTAGTTTTCAGAACTGTGAAGAATAAACTTCCATTCCCTATAAATTACCCAATCTGTGGTATTTTGTTATATAGGAACAGATCTGTAGTCATGTGCCTATCTAGCAAGGTAGAGAAGTTTAGCCAATGATGATATAAGGCCTGGAAATCATTTGGTACGTGACTGGACACATGCTTTTTATATACTTCTTGTCAGCTCTCAATGACTATCAGTATGTATTGATAATTTTTATGACCTGCGGATTATATTATAAATATCTAAATGGACTTAGGCAGAAAAAAGTTTACCCATCCCTGACAAGGTAAAATATTCTAGGCATAAGGAATTGGAAAAGCGATCTTCTGAACAAAAGACTTCTGGCTTATTCCAGAACAAAAAAAGAGGCCAGATTGGCTGGAGGAACTGAGCAAGGGTAACATCCACAATAGATCAGAAAGGAACTAAGTGGCAAATGACATGGGGCATGGGGTCAGTGCAGGCTTTTGACTTTATCTGGGTGAGAAAGAATAGTACTGATTGTGTGTGTGTGTGTGTGTGTGTGTGTGTGTGTGTGTGTGTGTGTGTGTGTGTGTGTGTGTGTGCTGGTCCAGGGGCTTAAACTCAGGGCCTGGCACTGTCCCTGAGCATTTTTGCTCAAAGCTAGCATAGTACCACTTGAACCATAGCTTGACTTCTGGCTTTTGGTGATTGATTGGAAAGGTAAGAGTCTCATAGACTTTCTTGCTAGCTTTGAGCTGCAATCCTCACATCTCAGCCTCTGAGTTACAGGGTTACAGGCATGAGTCACTGGTGCCTGGCACTACTAATGGTTTTAAGTAGAAGAAAGATGAGCGCTGTCTCTGAGCTTTTTCAGGTCAAGGCTAGTACTCTACCATGTAACTCACAGCTGCACTTCTGGCCTTTTTGGTGGTTAATTGGAGATAAGAGTCTCATGGTCTTTCCTGCCCAGGCTAGCAGCCTCCTGAGTAACAATGATTACAGGCATGAGCCACCTGTACCCAGCCATCACTGGATTTCTTAATGAAACAAGTACCACACCAATACTAAAGAAAGCCTTTCTGGAGCAATTGCCCATTTGCCTGCTTCATTCAAACTGGCTGCTAAGTGTGCAATCAACAGCTTGGTAGGATCCATTCAGTTGAAAAATATAATAATACTTAATGAGATTACTTACATTAGATTAGATATGAAAATGTCAGTAAACAATTTTGCAAGATGTATTCAACTTATATCTTGTGATAAGACCTACCTCTATGCACAATTTGTACCAACTAAAAATATTAAATGAGACTTACATCGAAGTTTTCACTTTTCCTCAACTCTTCAAATAGACAAAAATGCAAACAAACGAACACACAAACAAGACAGACCTAGACATTTTGGCTAACAGAATGCTGCCTTGTCTATTTAAGTTGAAATTCTTCTTTCTGCTTTATCCAAATTCTGTGGCTCCTCCTCAGAGGGTCTTGAGCTCAGCATCAGAGCTAGAATTTGCATCATGGGCTGTGGTGATTCCTGATTTGCAGCTATTCAACCATGCATTTTAGAATGCTCAA